GCTTCCCCTACTTGTTCTTTCAAGACCTACTACTGTCAAGCAATTATACAGTCTAGTGCAATGTTCATAGCTTGTTTTTTCAAAGGCCTGGTACTGCCAAATGTATAAGAGAGTGGAAGGAGGAGGAAGAGCTAGAGAAGACGAGAGAAGATGAAGGCAGAGAGAAGAAATGGGGAGGTTTAAGAAAATTCTTATGTTGTAATCTTCTGACAGCAGGCTTTGTCTTCTGAAGGAAGGTTTGAACAGCACCGAGTATAGTGACAGGCAGATCCTAGGAGTCTCTGGGCATTACCACAGCACAGAAAATACTAATTAAAATGTAACACATGCACATTGCAATGTGATTAGTTTTCAACAACAACACAACTCTACATTGTTTACGAGTTTCAATTTTTATTCATGTAGGCATAAGCATTTTTTGGAACTGACAAAGAGGTCTGGCTGGCAGAGCTGGTGGATAGTCCCAGGTGTATTCATTGGGAGAGAATTGTATGGGCTTCTGGAGCCAGTCAGATTGGTGCCAATGACAGTACAATGAATAGCTAAATGCTGAGTGTGTGAATGAAAGTTCTGCTGAGCATCATTCAAAGCAAACTTGTCTTTTCTCATTAGCAGGAGCTTGGATTCCTAGCAGAAATGTGGCCCACAGGCTTAATTCAAAGCACTCATTTTATTAAAGGCTTTCATAGCTTGTAATCTAGACTGGGAATTAGGTATCTGCATGCTGATGGATACCATTTAGTGCCTGTGTCCATCTTTAGGCCACTGAAACATATTTTAAAAATCTGTTTCTTGACTCTACTTTTTTTCTTCTGCCTGGCCTGGCTTTGGTACAAGCTTCTGTATACAAGCATATGGAGAACAAACATGTCAGTGTAAAAGTTTTGCCTGGCAAGCATATATTAAGGAAGCATCAGTCCAAAGACCTACATGTGAAAGTATGCTCTAGTCCTTATGTCTTCTCCTGTATGGATTTACCTTGCATCTTCCCACGAGACATCTGAGACAGCAAGGCACACATGCTACAAATATGTTTTAAAAGTGAAAGAACGCTGGAAAGGGAATTAGTGTGTGTAGAGTAACAGGCTATAACTGTAATATTCTTAGGGGGCCATGGTTAACTATGTGCTTTATTGCCAGACCTTTTCACATACACAGTAGTACATAGATCTTAAACCCATGTCACCTTGCTTAATCCTGGTATTAAAGGGCTAACAGTTCATATCTGACCTGTTGAAGTATACCTTTATCCAAGCAAAATCCCTCATTTTGTGGATCCATAACCCATCCCAGATAGCATTCTTGTCTGTGCTACTGCAATCTAAATTATAGGTAGGTAAGTGTATATGACGCAAACCCTGGTCTTTCCCAGCAGGAGGTGCACAGATTCCCCCTTCTCAGCTGTCCAAATCTTGTTCATGTAGAAGTGGGAGTATGTGCAGGTTCTGTTCAGCTATGTTTGTTTACCAACAGACTTCAATACCCGACTCGGAAAGCAATCTGGATCAGAACTGCTTGTCTCGCTGCAGCACAGAGATTTTCTCTGAAGCCAGCTGGGAGCAGGTGGATAAACAGGACACAGAGGTACAGACTAACTCCCTGTCTGTGATATTCCTTCCTCTTTCCTTCTGTTAGGACATAATATTCTTAACACAAGCCATAATATTACGGGTTCTGGTAAACTACCCCGTTGCCTTAACTTGTCTTGTAATACTTTGAATGTCTGTACCTGTGCCTTTAAGCCCTCTGCTTTCAGCTGTCTACATATGAACTCTGTTTGAGAAACTGTGGAAGGACTTAATAATTCCCTGCACTACCTATTCACTATGTATGTGTTTGGCTTGGATGCCTTTACAGTGCAGAAAAAAATCAGGAACCGAGGTATTATGGGCAAAATCCTGTTCACTTTATGGGCCTAAATGGCCTGCACACAGCCATGTAATTGTAGCTTTTGGTAGTTAGGTACAATTTGGGATTCTGTTTTGCCACAGGAAAAATGGAATTGCGTTGCAAGTGGGCAGCCCTCCTGTATTTTAGCCCAATAGCCTGGTGATCAGGGCATCCCCCTAGGGGGTAAAAGACCTGAGTTCTGGGACACCCTTCCCCAGAACAAGTTTGTAACTGCATTGTCTGGTTCTCAGCAAGTGCTATAACAAGCAGGCATTGCTTATCCGCACACCTTTCTCCTGGAGCTAGTCCATGTCATGTTGTATTTAATAGTCAGTGAATATGTAATAGTAGAAAGTTTCTTCCCCACAAAAGTAGGGTCCCAGGCTAGATCCAAGGCCCCCTCCTTTTCAGGACTGCATTCAGCTCAATGAGCCACACACCTTCCAGTTTGTTCATTTCTCCTGACCCCACATATTTATACATCTTGGCTGACCAGTGGGCCAGCTTCAAATGGAAGGCTGGAGAGGCCTCTACGTCGAGTCCTGATAGACATAGTACTTGAACCATTCCAAGAATGTCACTGGTTGGAAACTGGTTAACAACTGTCCCAGTTTAGAGGCATCCATATGCACACTGCCAAGAGTTCTAAGTAGAAGTCACCTTTTAGGCATTGCAGTGCTGTCCAACTGCTGCTGGGGAGTGGTGGCGAATACCTAGGCCTGCATGAATGCCAGTGCCTTGCTCCAGTGTTCTCCAAAAAGAGGAAGACCCTGACTAGCTGGATGCCAAGGAAGAGGAAGAAATCAATCGACCACAGTTGCATTTTTCTGCTCCCTTTTTTCACTAACATTGAGTTCTATAAAGACCATTCCTGCACTGTATATATAAAATTTGGTGGTGCCATGACTGAGGAAGCCCAGATGTGCATGCTTGTGTGGGTGTGTGTTGGGGGCTGCGCAGACTTCTGCTTCTGGGTTCCCACAAGCTGGGTGCTCTGGTGCTGCCAGAGCTTTTGTAGCTTTTGAAGAGCACTTCCCCCAAGCCACTCCTCATTTTACTTCAGTTTCTGGCAGTGTACCAGGGTTCGGTGCATCACAGGTTGATTTAGGAGTGAAAGGGTGGCCTGGGTGCTCTAGAGGGCTGCCCAAGGTCTCTGGCTCAGGCTTAAGAAGGCTTTCCCATAGTGGGGTTGGGATTGGGAAGTGCCTAGACCCCTGTTTGTAGGTTCCCAGTGTACTGGGTGCTCTGGTGTAGGGGGCTGCCAAAGGTCAGGAATGGAATTAAATTAAGAAGTGGCTTGGGAAAAAGTGTTGTTTAAAAGCTGCAAAGACTTGGTAGCCCCTTGGGAATTCAGAAGCAGGCGTACTCCACTACCCACCTAGCTACCTCCCTGGCTCAGATCAGCCTAGGATGCCCCAAAGCGTGGTTAGTTGCCACCAGTAGAATGAAACTGACCTGGGCCTTGGGGGAAAGTTCTGTTTAAAAGCTGCGAAGATACTCAGCTGCCCTGGGACTCCAGAAGCAAGGGTACCCACTGTACCCACCTAGCCACTGTCCTCCTCTTCTTGCCCCCCAGCCCAAATCAGTCTGGGATGGCATGGACAGGGTCAGGGTTAATGACATACAGTTTTGGCTGTGTACCAGAGTAGCTTTGCAATGTGGGAAATCTGGAAGACTGCCCAGACACTAGTCACAGAAATATTAGTGTCCGCACATAATACTGAACCTGTTAAAAAACAACAAACAGGTGTGCTTTGGAGACAGTCCAGGAGGTTCAAACCATTCTAAATTGGCTTGTCCCTCTAGACACTTGGGCCATGTCCACACGAGCAGGGGCATGTCTTTGCAGCAGCACAATGTAGTGGCACAAATTTGTGCCACTACATTGTGCTGCAGTGCCCGCCCCTGCTCATGCAGTTTGCAGCGGGTCACATTGTTCCACTGGTCCATGTGCTGCAGGGGGTGCTGGCTGGGGCATAGGGTTCCTCCCTGTGGGGCTAGCTGGGAGGCAGCCTCCATGCTGAGGCACCGTGTGACCTAGGCAGCCATGGAGTGGCACATGGAGACAGGGGAGCAGGCAGCCTATGGCTACCTGCTGCCCCATCTCCATGCACTGCAGAGCCTGCACCCAGAGGCACTCTGTGCCCCAGCCAGCCGGGGAGCGGCTGGCTGGCGGCTGGCTGGGATGCAATGTGCCTCGAGACAGGGGAACAAGCAGCCCTGGGCTGGCTGCTCCCCTCTCTCCACCTGCCTCAGTGCAGGAGCCCCGCTGTGGAGCATGTGGAGCTCCCACGCTGAGGCACCCTGGCCCCAGCCAGCCTCAGAGCAACTGGTTGGGGCACAGTGTGCCTCGAGACAGGAGCAGCCAACCCAGGGCTGCCTGCTCTCCTGTTCAAGGCACGCTGCACTCTGTGCAGCACACAGAGACAGGGCAGCAGTCAGCCCTTTGTCCTGGCATACACCACTTCAGTGTGCTTTGTGCTGCATTTTTCTTCCTTTTTTTTTTTTTTTTATGCTACCAGGAAATTCCAGTAGCAAATTTTGCCCCAGAACTGCACATTAGCAGCACTATGCATGGTTTAACGTGCAATGTATGCGATTTGTGGCACCGCAAAGAAGTGTGCAGAACCATTAACCATACGTGCCTGTATGTCTGGATCCAGCCCTGTAGTTTAAACTGTGTTTAAAGCAGTCCAAGTGTTACGTTTGTCCATACTCTCAGCCCTTGGTTGAAAGATTAGAGCACTTGGCTGGGAAACAGGAGACACTTTTAAAACCCTTGCTGGGCAGGTAGGTTGTAGAACTGAGGTATCCTGCTCCCCAGCTAAGTGTTGTATCCACTGTATCATTGGGCTAAGTAGTAGAAAGGGACTTTCTCACACCTGATAGCCATGTTTTTTGCCTGCCTAAAATTTCAGGACTTGCCCAGCTTTACGCATACATGAGCTGTTTTGTTTCACTGTCTACTTACCTAGCTGAAACACAGCACTACCGAGCAGGGTAGTAGCACTGAAGGGCAATACTGGCCACACCTGCATGAGAAGCTGGTTGTACAATTGTTACTGTGCATTTAGTACTTGCATACACAAGTACTAAATGGCTGCTCAGTAACTGGAGTTACTACACAGTAGCGTCGCCAAACAGCCTTTAGATCACGCTTACTGCACAGAATCTCATTACTACTGTGTAGTAGTGTTGCATCACGCTTTGTGCCATGAAATACTACTGTGCAATAGTAACGAGCTACTGCGCAGTCAGCATCTCATGTAGATGTGGCCACTGAGTTGCAAATTGTAAGTGCCCAGACTTGCAGTTCTGCCTCTACATGTGAAACGTTTAGGCATGTAAAGTGAAATAGGGTTAAGCCCTATTCATTTCTGTGTGCCTGGGGAGAATGCACTGAATCACATTTTTGAGAGTTGTCTTCTCTTTATTTCATTATTGCCAACTCTGATTCTGTCCCCTTAAAGCAAAAGGCACCTTGCCTTGATTTTCTGAGTTTGGGTCATAGATTTCATAGATTTCTAGGGTTCGAAGGGACCTAGTAGATCACCGAGTCTGACCCCCTGCCCCAGGCAGGAAAGAGCGCTGGGGTTAAGTAACCCCAGGCAGGTGCTTGTCCAATCTCTTTTTGAACACCTCCAAGGTAGGGGAGAGCACCACCTCCCTTGGAAGCCCATTCTATATTTTGGCAGCCCTCACTAATGAATTTCTTCCTAATGTCTAACCTAAATCTACTCTCCTTCAGTTTGTGGCCGTTATTTCTAGTAACCCCGAGGGGCACCCTGGTAAACAGAGTGTCCCCTGTTCCCTGCTGATCACCCCCGATGAGCTTGTAGACAGCCATAAGATCACTTCTCAGCCTTCTCTTGCAGAGGCTGAAGAGATTCAGGTCCCTCAGTCTGTCTTCATAGGATCTTACCTGCAGACCCTCAACCATATGAGTAGCCCTCTGAACCCTCTTGAGGTTATCCACATCCCTTTTGAAGTGCGGTGTCCAAAGCTGGATGCAGTACTCCAGCTGCGGTCTCACCAATGCTGCATAGAGGGTATCCAAATCGTTGATGAAGATATTGAACAGTACTGGTCCAAGGACAGAGCCTTGGGGGACACCACTGCCCACATCTCTCCAGGAGGAAACCGACCTATACACCACCACTCTCTGGGTGCGTCCCATAAGCCAGTTTTTCACCCACCTTGCTGTGAAAAAATCCACATCACAGCTACTCAGTTTGCTTGTGAGAATTGGGTGCAACACTGTGTCAGAAGCCTTTTTAAAATTCAAGTAAATAACATTTATCTCCTCCCCTGCATCTAAGCACTTTGTGATGTGATCATAAAGAGACCAAGTTAGTCAGGCAGGATCTGCCTGCTATAAACCCATGCTGGTTGCCCCTTAACATTGTGTTACCCGCTGCGCCCCCCCCCTCCCCCCCAAATGTGGTTCTTTATGATTTTTTCTAAAATCTTGCCAAGAATAGAGGTGAGGCTAATTGGCCTATAATTACCCGAGTCCTCCTTCCTCCCCTTTTTGAAAATAGGGACCACATTGGCCCTTTTCCAGTCTTCTGGTACCTGTTCTGAGTGCCACAAGTGCTCATACAGTTGCACCAGTGGTTTCACTATGACACCACCTTTAGTACCCTTGGGTGAAGATCATCAGGGCCCGCTGACTTAAATACATCCAACCCCTCCAAGTACCCCTTCACTAGGTCAGCGCTCACCACTGGTGGATTGGTATTTCTCTCACGCCATACTGAAGTCTCGTTAGGAGGTGTGTTTGTATCTGTGTCTAGGAACACAGATGCAAAGAAATCATTTAAGAGCTCCTCTTTATCCATCTTATCTGTTACGAGTTGCCCTAGTCCATTCTTTAGCAGCCCTGTGTTACCCTGCGTCTTCTTCTTGCTCCCTATATACTTAAAGACAGCTTTTATGTTGCTCTTAATCTTTGTTGCTAACTTGAGTTCTGCATCTGCTTTGGCCTTCCTCACTGCTTCCCTGCAAGTGCAAGCCAAGCAGGTATATTCTTCCTTGGTGGCTGCCCCCTGCTTCCACAGTTTCCTCTGAAGGCTCTCCTGAATTTCCTTGCTCAGCCAAGAAGGTATTTTGGCTCTTTTGCCTCCCTTTGTGTGTACTGGGATGGTGTCCCTCTGTGCCTGCAGGATCAGTCCCTTGAGGAACTCCCACCCTTCTTGGACTCCCAGCTCACAGATGTGATTATCCCTCAGTCCCACTCTAACTAATCTCCTGAGCTCATTGAAGTTGGCCTTTCAGAAGTCTAGGACTTCTGCCCTACTAGTTGTCTTACCCATCTTTGACCAGATAGTAAATCCTATCAACTGGTGGTCACTATCCCCTAGGTTACTTTGTACCTGTAGATCCCCCACCAAGTCCTCCTCTGTGGCCAGCACAAAATCAAATAAGGCATTTCCCCTAGTGGGACTGCATACCTCCTGTATTAGATTCAGGTCCTGTATGCAGGTTAGGAACCTAGGTGAACGGGCAGACCTAGTCGACTGCTCCTCCCAGCAGATGTCTGGGTAATTTAGGTCACCCATGACAACTAGGTCCTTTGAGTGTACTGTCTTTAAGAGCTGTTTCAAGAATTCTAGGTCTAATTCCTCCTCCTGGTGTGGGGGTCTGTAGTAGACCCCCACTACCAAGTCCCTTTCACCCCTACCCCCTCAAAACCTGACCCATAGGACTTTGATCTGTCCTTCTTCTGTCCCCATCTTTATTGCAGAAGATGTATAATGTTCCCTAATGTATAGAGCAAAGCCCCCCACCTTTTTTCCCCAATCTATCCTGCCTGTATAGCCTGTAGCCCTCAGATTTGTCTCTAGATAAGTGCTGTCTCCTTGATACCTTTGTCTTTGTTTTCTGTGTTTCATAGGTAACACGATGGCTTCCAGACCACCTAGCTGCCCATTGCTATGGTTGTGACAGTACATTTTGGCTTGCCAGCAGGAAGCACCACTGCAGGTAAGATACAAAAACAAAAGAAATGTTAAAGTATAAGGCCCATATTCACTGCTGAAGTCAAGGAACTCAGCTTTGAAAGACAAGGCTGCTTCCTTAATTGAATTCCCATTTGTTTGTAGCATCTAGTTCAAAAATAGCAACTCATATCAGCTCTGCACCTGTTGAAACATACTCAGACCTCTTTTTCCCTTCAGTTTTAATTCAGAGGCAGCCTGCTGTTTGCAAACATAGTTTCATAAGTAAATGTTATAAACTACCTTATTTCCTCACGTACACCATGCCCCCGTAGTAAGACATGCACCTCGTTTTTGAAAGGCAGGATGAAGAAGTAAAGATTTTTCCTTGAAAATACTGGTAAGTACAGTATTTTCCCAGGGAAGACACAGGCAACTGCAGTTGTGGGAGGACCAAAGACTGTGGCTGCTCTGTTAGCTGCCTAGTAGGGCTGTGCAAAGCTTTTGGTGCAGATTTGTTTTGGAGGAGATTCGGCCTGATTCGGCGGCCAAAGCTCCGAATCTGATTTGAATCAAGAGACTAATAAAAAGGTCTGAATTGATTTGAAGCTCTCTGAATCAATTCGGAAAAGATTCAGACAGCTTCGGAGAGATTTGGAGATTTGAGCAGTCCCCACTCGCCACTGCAGGGAGCTGGACCCAGACTCTATGCCAGTAGCTGGAAGTGGGGCTGGAGAAGCGGGGAAGGGACCATGGGGGGACTCCTGCCAGACCCCATCCCCTGCCTGCTCCCCCAGCCCTCCCAAGTGCCCCCCGACTTGTGCTGGCACTCCCAGCCCCCATCATGGCTGCCCTGCATGGCCCAGCTCCCGGTTCTTAAAAAAAAATAGCCCTCACACACCAGATGCTGTAGCGGCCATCAGGACTTCTGGGGGCTCATGGCCGAGCCCCCCATGCAGTGTGGGGCAGCAGGGTGCAGTGGGGATCGTCCCTCCACCTGGCAGCAGCCGGCGAGTGGGGGCTTTTTTTTTTTTAAGAGCCAATGCTGGGGCAGGCAGAGCAGCCATGTCGGGGGCTGGGAGAGCATGCAGGGGATGAGGGCTTGTGGCAGAGCCCCCCATGCAGTGTGGGGCAGCAGGGTGCAGTGGGGATCGTCCCTCCACCTGGCAGCAGCCGGCGAGTGGGGGCTTTTTTTTTTTTGCTTTTTTTTAAAGAGCCGGGACACTGGGGCTGGGAGAGTGGGCAGATGGGGGCTCATGGAGGAGCCCCCCACACAGCATGGGGTAGTGGGGGGCAGCATGGATCGCCCCTCTGTTTGGCAGCAGCCAGTGAGTGCCAGGCTTTTTTTTTTTTTAAAGAGCTGGGAGGCTGGGGCCGGGCAGGGCAGCTATTGATAGGGCTGGGAGAGGGGCCTGTTTGATTTGGAGATTCGGCCCATTCTGCGCCGGCCAAAAATCTGAATCAGATTCGGCTGAATCAGTTCATAACAGTGATTCAAATCACTGAATCAAATTACTGTCCCCCGAATCAGCTGAATCTGAAGCAAATATTAGCCGCTTCGCGCAGGCCTACTGCCTAGTTGCAGGATGTGACAGGTGCCGCTGGCTAAACCCATTTGCCCAGAGCCCCTTCTCTTGAGCTGAGCTGAGCTGGGTGGGCAACCCGAAATGCCTGCCAGGTTAGCAGAGAGCCTGATCCAGCAGCAGCACCTGCAGAGTCAGCTGAGGGCCTCTGTTCAGGTCTGGGCTTGGCTCTGTTTTGGAAGTGCAGAAGTTCATGCTGAATTAGTAGCAGCTTCTGCAGCATGAGCTTCTGCTGCAGAAAGTGTTTACAGCTAACAGCCAAGGAGCCGTGCGCTTCCTTTACTGTCCCCTGTGCCATATGTGCAGCATTACTTTCTCAGCCCCCCTCCCTGTTGCTACAGAAACTGTTATTACTGTGTTTCCCTACTTAAAACTACACCAGTTTCCAGCAGCTGGTTTTTGGGGAAACGTGTTCATATTGTATCGGAGAAAATACAGCATTGTACAGTCCATTTACCATTTAATACTGTCAACCCCTCAGTAACATTTTTTCCATCACTGGATGGAAAACTGTTTCCTTCTCCATCCCTCCTTTCCTCCTCATTACATGACTTGTATAAGAAATTTTGAGACAGACATCTGGAATACAGGTTGATTGGATTAGTCTTTGCAAAATCTGTTGCCCAGAAAAGCCATACTGGATAGAGCCAGCACAATGGGTCTGATGAAGGGCAGGTAGCACCAGCCTGTTGATTAGTTTGATTCTGGCTTGAGACAGAGAATCACAGGTTTTTTGGCTGTATTTTAAAGCTTTTAGGAATCAAGAAAAATCGCTATGTTATACAGTGTTCTTGCTGAATCTCGCAGTTGACAAGATGATCACAGGAGCTATAACTTAAAAGTTTATTTTTGATGCTGTATTGCCATAACAAGCAGCAGTGAGTTAAAACATTGTCTTTGGTTTGTGTCCATTTTTCTATTTATTTTCCATTTTGTCCTCCTGAAAAGATCAGCCCATGGAAGAATGAACAGAAGTTGAACAGTTTTAATTTTCCTCGGTTTTCTTGTCTGTTTATGTGTGTAGATAAATAAATATATTTTATAACTTCGGATGAAAAGTATATGTACTAAGTATTTAAATAATACATGTCTGAAGAACATGATAAGAGATGAAGTCTGGTGTTTTCCTTTGTCTTTTCTCTACTGGGTTGTTTATTTTAGTCATCCATTGCAAAATGTTCCCATTCAGCATCATCACTTTGCCTCCCGTATCTCCCTGGACTCACTCTCTCACTTAGGATCTAGTCTACAACTTCCAGACAGGCCTGTGCTCTGGGGAATTCCTATTGTGCTTTTCTATACTAAAGAATTGAAACTGTTTCAGGATTTCAGTCTTATTTCAAATTGCCCTTTAGTTCTTGCATTTCTTGGTCTTAATGTTTCCAACCTTGTGGTTTATAAGGTACCTATAAGTAATAAGCACCCTGAACAACTAGAAGACCAAATCAAGTTTCAGTAATTTACATTGATATTAATCCTGCTGCACAGTGTGGATCTTCTTCCTTTCTCCCTTTGAAGGTGAAATGAGTTTTAAAACCACATATTCTAAACTTTTTGCCAGGTTAAAAAAACTCTAGTGTCCCTCATTGCCACTATTTGCTTCTTTTGCTAGTTTCCCCTCTTAGCTCTTTCTCCCCTCCTTGCAGGGACATTGAACGTGTTGATCAAACCTGGTGAGCATTTGCAACAGCCTCTGTCTGTTGTCTGTCTGTATTTCTTTGATAACTTCTCCAAACTAACTGTATTCCCTTTGTTTTCCACTTGCCCAGAAACCACCAAAAATTAATTGTGGATGCATAGTACAGCCTGCCAGGGATTAGAGCTCTAACCAGGCCGCTCTTTCCACAGGAAGGCATTTAGGATTAAGCTTTTTGTAGCATAAACACATCTCAGTTTAAACTAAGTCCCATTTGAGTAGCAAACCGTGCTTCTATGCTAATTGAGGAGGGAGTAGCCTCCATGTTTAGTCACCAATTTATTTTCAGTTCCTTTCCTTTTTGCCTTAGCATTTCTGGAATGCTACAAGACAGTCCTGGTGTAGCTTTGAAGTGTGTTGGAAGGAGATGACCAACAATTATAGAGATATTAAAATACTCCAGGAATAGCAAGCAGTGTGGGGAACAGTAATACAAGGGGTGGATGTTTGTGACTGGCCAGACAAGGGAGGTGTGGTAGTAAGATTATGATGAGGCAAAAAAGATGCCATCTCTCACAGGATGAATATGATTTTCCAGGCACTGTAGAGGAAAGCCAAATTTGCTGGGTTTTTGTTTGTTTGTTTTGGGGGTGGTTTTGTTTTATGTCTCAGGTGAAGCAGATGTCTGTCAGGGTGTACGGGACTGAGTTTCAGTGTGACGGGTTGTCATTTCGGAACGGTGTGCCCTGTCACATAGGGGTAGGCAGGGGGGAAAAAATCAAACATGTAAGATGAGCTACTTCAAGTCAGTACATATCTTAAAGAATACTGTTGGCTGCTCTTCATTATAGTTTGCCAACAGTAGGTTTGTGCTGAATAATCATTGCTTCCGCAGGACT